AGCACAGCCACTTTAAAAATGCCCTGGGACTGAGGTAGGATGGCGTTAAATATCCTCCATGGAGCGACACCCGTCTAGCCTCCAGCCACAGCACCACCTGGAGCTGTCCGTCGTGCTGACTCGTTTCACCTGCTTCCTGAAATGCCTGATGGGAGCTGCAAGGCACCTATGACAGAAGCACCAGGACCGGGGATGATGGAGGTCCTGGTGAGATGCACCAGGGCCACTGGCAAAGGTGAAATCAGGTATTAGCGAGGTTCAGAGATGAGCAGCTCTGGCAGGACCAGAGGCAAAGAGCAGAGTCAAGATCGACTGAAGGGCAGATACTGACCAAGTGTGGCAGAACCAAAACCTAGCACAAACACCAGGTATATGGCAAAGCTGTAGTAGGTCCAAAGGCAAAAGTGGGGTCAGGAACTAGCAGGAGCAAAGACATGGAGGAAGAGTTGGTCCAAATGGAGGCAAAGGCCAGAGCAAGAGCACGAGGCGGCTGCTGCCAAGGCACAGGTCACTGTGGCAAACTCAGGCAGGGCTGAGCAGCCTTGTGTAGCAGCTGGCTTCTGCGATTTCAGTGGCCCTAATCTCTGCAAGCACTTATGGACCTGATCCTGCAAGAACTTGCAAGTCAACGAAGCTGCTGCTGTATAAAAGCTCCCCAGGAAGCCATGCTGCTCAGCAAGTCCTGTCCTAACCCAACTTCTGCTTCTCATGCAGGGCCAAATCCTACAACCCAAACCACACCACAGATCATAATCGAGATCCAAAGCCTTGCACAGTGCAGATACCTGAATGCTAGAATGTATTTCAGAAATTCCCACAGTACATCAAGAGGCAGGGCAGGGCAGGGCAGGGCCAGTCCGCTGGGTGACCACGAACAAAGATGAGGGGCATCCACTCACATCTAGTCTCAGGAATGTGGCTTGCAAAGTCTCGTCTCCTGTGGAATCACAAACAGGTCAAACTGATGGGAAGCAGCCTTTTACAGGCAGAGACAGGGGAGCAGTTTGCTTGATTCACTAGTTTTTATTTATTAGATTCATAACCTGCATTTTTTTTTCCTTTCAAAGAGCTCAAAGAGCTTATACAATTCTCCTCATCCTCTGAATCTTCTCCTCAGAACAACAATCCTGTGAGGTAGGCTCAGCTGAGAGTCTGTGACTGGCCCAGAGTCACCCAGGGAGCTCCATGGCTATTTTCCAGCACTCGGTGGCAGCTTTCTTCTGCTCTGAACTAGCAGGAGCAGGAGGAGTGTCTAGTAGTAGTAGTAAACAGTATTACTTTACGTGCTGTGAGTAACTATTGTAACGTTCCCTTTTACGCACATGCTGTGGAACGGGCATCCCCACTACTCCACGTGAGTTGCTGCCAGTGCATCAGGCAGGGCTATGCCACATGCTTCCACAGCCTGAAGAGCAGCCTCAGTCCTCCTGCTCAGAAGGGGAGAGCCACGAACTCTCCCAGGCCGAGCAGCTGCAGGTCATGACAGCAAAGCCTTCGCACGAGCGACCGCGACTTTCAACCGCAGGGCAGGCGTTGCGGGGTCAAGACGGAGAGCACTGTCAGATCTGCTTGACACATGTGCTCAGCGCCTCCCCGTGCTCCGTCTCCAGCCAGAAGCGCACGCTGCTAAAATCTGATCTGTCAAAGGTCCCTCCGGCCGAGGCGTGAAGATTGCTGGACAGGACCTTGTCACGCGGGAGCGAAAGGCTGCTTGCCCACCCGCACACTCCCGGAGACAGGTCGATGGGAGCTGGTGTAACACACACGAGTCGAGACGCTTGCGGTGTGACACGCCTGGGGCGCCAAGGCTCCCAGGGATGCGCCAATGAATATTTATCAGGGCAAAGACAAAGTGCAGGACATCTGCGGGGCACATGTTGCAACCTGGCACTCAGGCAAGGGAACCTGCTAGAGCCGAGTGACCTGCACAACGTAAATGCATAATTGCTGGCAGAAACCAGATCCACCCCTACGGTTTTGTCCGTCTTTCTGGAAGCTGTCTACCCATGCACGGAATGGAATTCTGTTTTTCTTTCTAAGCAGGATCTCTTCTGCATAGAATCATTTGCATCGGTGCTGATGTGCATCCATTCCTGGTGAGAGCACATTTGTGCTAAGGCGAAGTAGCATATGTGCCCTGCAAAAGGGAAAAGCCAGCCCAGGAGTGCACAGAATGTGCGTGGCTTGGAAAAGGCCAGCCCACTGCAGAATCCACAGGTCGGAGTCACAGGCAAGGGGACTCGTTGGAATTCGCTGTGGACGTCCCAGCAAGCTAAAGGACTCGGTGTAACTCCTGGGACACTGGCACCCCTACAGAAAGTGCTGACAGGGGGCAAAACAGAAATGAAGTGGGTATTAAGGAAGGAACTCCCTGGAGAAGACCCTGATGCTGGGAACGATGGATGACAAAAGGAGAAGGGGATGGCAGAGGATGAGGTGGCTGGATGGGGTCACTGGGGTAGCGGGTGTGGGCTTGGATAGACTCCAAGGGATGGTGGGGGACAGCAGAGCCTGGAGGAATGTTGTCCATGGGGTCGCGATGGGTTGGGCATGACTTTGCAACAGAACAAATTAAGGAAGGAAATAGGAAATGGAGTGGCCAGGGAAGCAGGAAAGCTGTGCAGAACATCTAGAACAACAAGGCCAGAAACGTAGCATATGAAACACTGAAAAGTATAGAAGCTTGCTCTTTCGTCGTCTTCGGACCGGCTACATCAGATATCTCTTACCAGTAATAATAAAAGACAGCACTGTGTGTGTGTTTTTCATCCAGACACGGCCACGATATCAAGTTTGTACAGCCTAGTCAAGTTGGCAAGTATGCCTGAGGGATTAGCGTCTTGGGGTCCCGTTTTCTTCCAAATGCATCGATTCATTTTAAATAGGTCTACGTGGTTGAAGTCTGCACTACCCCCTTCAGCCACTAGGGGCAGATGTCCGTGGTGCAGTGGGTGGGGGGAATTTGGCCAAAGCCCTGCCCCAGTCCCACAGACCAAAGAGCAGTAGGCAATGAGGCCAGCTTGGGAAAAGACGCAAACTCCGTTTTCATCACGCTGAGTCATGTAGTCATGATACGTGAACATAAAAAGCACGTGCTCAGAACATGCGTGTGTCTAAAAACCAGGGTTAGCATATATTCTAATGTTTATGGAATTGTAAAGCATGGGTGCTAGTTATGGGGGTGGGGGGGTCCTTCATAGACACATCGCAATGTGGGGGCAGATGAATGTTAACTCCGGACTCTAAAACTACCCAACCGAGCAATGAATAGCTTTGCAGTCCATCCGCAATCCGTGTCTGAAGGCACAGGTGATTCATACGTATTATTTTTATTTAGTTCGTACATGGTGTATCCCACCTTGTACTCCAAGGTAACCTACATGTCCATCACAGTCTCTTTTTCATTCTCGCAACAACTCCTGTGAGGCAGACTTATCTGAGAGTAAGTAACTAGCCCAGAGTTATCCAGCAAGCTTCATGGTTAAATGTGGACTGGAACCCGGGCATCTCTGGACCCAAGTCCAACACTAACTTGCTCAGATTCATCACAAGCTGGACTCTACTAGTGAATCAGATTCTACTGGGGAGGTGCCAATGTTGCCGTCTGGTCCACAATTGATGGATGAGTTTCAGTTGTTGTGGCCTGATGATGTGGACAAGGTGCTTGGACAAGCACATCCCACCACCTGCTTACTGGACCCTTGCCCATCTTGGCTACTCAAGAAAGCCAAGGATGGGATTGGGACCTGGATCCTGGAGGTTGTCAATGCCTCTCTGAGGGACGGCCGGGTACCTGCCCCTTTAAAGGAGGCGGTAGTCCGGCCAATCCTAAAGAAGGCATCCCTGGATCCAGAGGTGGCTGGCAATTATAGACCGGTGGCCAACATCCCGTTTCTGGGCAAGGTGTTGGAGTGGGTGGTGGCGGGACAACTCCAAGCACTCTTGGATGAAACTGATTATCTGGACCCAATTCAGTCTGGCTTCAGACCTGGGTATGGTATTGAATCTGCCTTGGTCGCCCTGTACGATGATCTGTGCAGGGAGAAGGACAGGGGGAGTGCGTCCCTGTTGGTTCTTCTGGACCTCTCAGCGGCTTTCGATGCCATCGGCCATGGTATCCTTCTGGATAGGCTTGCGGGATTGGGGGTCGGAGGCACTGCTTTGCAGTGGTTCCGCTCATATCTCAATGGCCGATTCCAGAAGGTGGTGCTGGGGGACTATGGCTCTGCACCATGGCAGCTATGCCATGGAGTACTGCAGGGGTCTATTTTGTCCCCTTTGCTCTTTAACGTCTACATGAAATGGCTGGGAGAGGTCATCAGGAGGTGTGGGCTGCGGAATCATCAATACGCTGATGATACCCAGCTCTACCTCTCATTTTCCACCAATCCAGGTGAGGCAGTGGCTGTGCTGAACCGGTGCCTGGCCGAGGTAATAGGCTGGATGAGGGCCAATAAACTGAAGCTCAATCCAGACAAGACGGAGGTCCTGTTGGTAGGTGGGTTGGGCTTCGGGGTGGGGGACCTGGACCTTGTCCTGAATGGGGTTGCACTCCCTCTTAGGGACAGGGTTCGCAGCTTGGGAGTGCTCCTCGACCCTGAGCTGTCATTAGAAGCTCAAGTAACAGCGGTGGCAAGGAGTGCCTTCCTTCAGATTCGGCTGATCCATCAGCTGTGTCCCTACCTGGAGAACGACTGCCTGGCGACAGTGACACATGCATTGGTAACTTCCCAGCTAGACTTCTGTAACATGCTCTGCGTGGGGCTGCCCTTGAAGATGGTCCGGATACTTCAATTGGGCACAATAGAGCTGCCAGATGGCTGATGGGGACTGGGCGTTGTTCTCATATAACCCCAGTCCTCCGTCAGCTTCACTGGCTCCCCATTGAGTCTGGGCCCAATTCAAGGTGTTGGTTATCACCTATAAAGCCCTCAACAGCTTGGGACCTGGTTATCTAAAGGAGCGCTTACGTCCATATATGCCTGCCCGCCCCTTGAGATCAGCGGCAGAGGCCCTTCTCTGGAAACCTTCCGTGAAGGATATTAGGAGGGTGAGTACCCGGAGGAGGGCTTTCTCTGCGGTGGCGCCCCAACTATGGAATGTGCTCCCCAGAGAGGTCTGCCTGGCGCTGTCGCTATTTGTTTTTCGGCGCCAGGCCAAGACTTTTTATTTAAACAATATTTTAATTGTTAATTGTTGTTTTTATTTATTGGTTTTAAACTATTGCCGAGATGCTCCGAATTTTTAATCTTATTCTATGTTGTCTATTTTCTTTGTAAGCTGCCCCGAGGCTTTCTGCGATGGGGACAGCATAAAAATGCTATAAAATAAATAAATAAATAAATAAATAAATAACCACTGCACAACACTGACTAGAGAAGACTAAGGGACACAGTCATACACTGAGAGCCAGGGTGGTGTAGTGGTTAAGAGCATGGGACTGGGACTCAGACGATCCGGGTTCGAGTCCCCGCTCGGCCATGGAGCCAACTGGGTGACTTTGGGCCAGTCACAGACTCTCAGCCCAACCTACCTCACAGGGTTGTTGTTGTGGGGATAAGATGGAGGAGGAGATGTAAGCTGCCTTGAGCCCTTTGTAGGAAAAAGGCAGGATATAAATAAATAAATAAATAAAGTCTCCCACCGCCATCATCACTGTGGGACAGCCACCCCAGAGGGTGGGGAAGAGGGGACCAGCCTGCTTCCAATAATCAGATTGGAAGCGGGCTGGAATTCCACTGAGTTCCAGTGAACTGAACTTCCCAACGTCCCCACATCCCTTGCACCGGGGGTCCAAACCTGCACGAGTGCGTGCAGCCTTCACTGTGTGAATGTACGGGCTATTCCCCCCATTCATTAGATGCAGCTGGATCCATTCCTTAGGGAATCCTAATAGGACGCAATTTAGTATTGATCATATAGAAATACAGATGACGTCATTTATGTACAGAGTTATTAGCAACACTGGTAATATCAACTAATATTGGTTGGCGAATCGTGCGTCTCATAACCCATCCATTACGCAGGCCAATAATTTGCTCACCGGGGAATGCCTGAACAGACGCTAAATCTTCTCGTTGGGGGAAATTTTGGGAGCAACTCAAGCCTTAGGTGTAGGAAAGCCTATTTTAGGACAGGGCCATCTCAGCCAAGGGTGTCCCTTTCAACAAGGGCTTGACAATTCCATCTGGCCCTGGCAGGCAATCCTTGTTCGCAGAAAGTTCCGTCTCTCCGGAGAGGAAAGCTGCTAATTTCAAGACACAGCCCAGCATCTTGCATTCTTTAGCAGTTGGCGTGCCTTGCGCTCAGCGGCAGAGTCACAGCCAAGAAGATTCCTCGGTCCATTGTCGTCCATATTATTTTTGAAGAGTGGCCAAGAAGTCTCCGTTCGGACAGGCAGACGGATCGGCTGCTGGCTGCCGTCCCTGCAGAAGCATTAAATCCACTCGCAACAGCTGGGCCTCAGCTTTGAAGGCACTCTCCTGCCCAAAACTGCGCCAGGCGGGGAGATTAAATAAAGATGTGAAAAGGAGGGCAAACGGAGGGAGGGACGTGAAATGGAAGATGAAGCGCAGAGTCCTCGGTAGCGTGGAGAGCCCAGTAGATTTCGCGTTGCCGCAGCCGTGTTCGAGGAGGCGATGCGAGCACCTCCGTTTTCGAAGTAGCTACACATTCCATCAGAAACACGCCATATTTTAGCTTGTCTCTTTGACATGTGGTATAAATAAGCTCATTGTTTTCCAAAAAATGTGACCAGCCCACCCCTTATGCGGCAGACACGCTGCCTGCCCCTCTTTCCTTATAATTAATAAAAGGCAAAGCCACAGATGGAAACTGTATTTACAAGACTTCATGGGGAGGCTGTGTATTGGGCGGGGGGTGAGATGCAAGGCTGGGGGATTTCTTCCAGTCCATGGGATGCATCTAATTTTTTAATCATTAAAAAAATGAAGTTGATTTGTTGGGATTTGTTTTTATATTATCGATGTTTCGTAGATGTTTTTAGTATTGATTTAGAATGCTGTTGTTGTAATTGTTGTAAGCCGCCCAGGGAGCCCAATCATAGGCTATGGTAGGGACATATAAATTGAAATAATAAATCAATAAATTTCTGAGATGTTCTCAGGGCCAGCTGGAAAGGTTCAGAGGAGGGCAGTAAAGATGATCAAGGACTGGAAACAAAGCCCTGGGAGGAGAGATTGAGAGAACTGGGCACGTTTAGCCTTGAGATGAGAAGAAGGAGAGGAGACAGGCGCATGGGAATGGCGGTCACAAAGAGGATCGCTTCTCGACCATCCCAGAGTACAGCACGTGGAATAATGGGCTCAAGTTCCAGGAAGCCAAGCTCCCGCTAGATACCGGGCAACATTCCCTGCCTATGAGAGACATACAGCAATGGAGCCCATGACCTGGGGAGGCTGTGGGCTCTCCTGCCCTGGAGCCACTCAAGATGCAGCTGGACAGCCATCCATCCAAGAGGGAGGGTTTAGCTGGGAGTCCTGAGCAGGCGGCTGGACCTGATGGCCCTCTGGCCCCTTCCCACTCTACTAGTCCAGGATTCTGTGAAAATCAGTTCGGGAGAAGGAACTGAGGGCCATCATGTTGCTTAAGCTAGAAGTGGCATTAAAACCTCTTCAAGTGAGGACAAATCCTGCAGATCTTGGGAAACCATCACGCTATTGATGGCCGTGGGGTGGAGTGGGAGGAGAAACCCTCCAAGGATGTGGTTTGGCCTTCTCAGGAAACCCTGGCAGGCCAGAGCGAAGGCCGAAATTTCTGCCGGAGATTCCAGATTGCTGCTCTCAGCCACGGGACTGTCCCAGAATAAGAACCTATAGGGTTGAGCTGCAAAATCGGGTAATCTTGGAGTGCTTAGCTAGGATTCTAGGCTCCATCCAGCCATGAGGTCCACGGGGTGGCTTTGGGCCAGTTGCTGCCTCTTGGCCTAACCTACCTCGCAGGGTTGCTGGGAGAATACACTAGCTGCCCTGGAAGCTAGCCAGGGCTCCTTGCAAGAGTGGAAAATGTTGGTGTGATTCTGTCTGGCTTTTCTCAGCCACCAACTGGGGGCTTGAGATACCAGGTCGGAGGTGGACTAAGGGAGGATTGCTGGGCCGCGGTTGTTGTTCAGGAACAGGCGGGAACGGTTCTCCGAATGAACATTCCCTGTACATGGCTCGAGCGAGGTGGAGGAAGAGCGACCGAATCGCATGCAAATCTGACTGCAGACCAATTGTCCACAAGGTATGCTGGGATCTCTATCGATCCAGCCAAGCGAGACGCTCTGATTTTGTTTCTTCCCAAAGGTGACTGGTTACAGGTTTTCCGCCTCTGTGGAGGCCACGACCTGGCTGTCTCTGAGGCATGAATGCAGTGGGAATCTGAGCCAGCCACCTCATTGGATTTCCCGCGTCTCGGGATGCTCCCGGGAGGATACGAGAACCGGAGTCCACCCAAGCGTGGGCAATGCTGTGCTTTTCACTGGCGCATCGGATGCCAAGCTCGGTGGGTGGCCCGATGAAAGGTCTACGGTTGCTCGCCTCTGTCGCTCTGGGATGCTGCTGAGCCCTTGCACGGCGCTCAGCCTGACAAGGGTCACGTAAGAAAGCACAGAGCTGCCCAGGAGTGACAGAAGCCGTACTCTGAAAGAGTCTTCCCCAACCTGGAGCCCTCCAAGTTCATTTCCCATCACCCTGGACCACTGGCCATGCGCGTTGTGGGCTGAGGAGGTCCATAGTCAAGGTCAGCAAAGCTGCAACCCATTAAGGGTCCCAGATACCACCCCAAAGCTCTTTCTGGCTCATGCCCACACGAGGCTGCAAACCTTTCTCTTTGCACTAGAATGCAGGCATGCTTTGAGGAGATGTTTCCCCATCAACTCTATGCCACACACACATTTTCCCCATGCGGGTTTTTTCAGGTGGATGCCGTTTTTGAACGCGTGTCTTTTTACAGTATGAATTGCAAGCACAAACTCGACATTGGGCAGGTCTGGGAGCTGCAAATGGAGGACGGTCCCATCAAAGAGGAACTGAAGCACAGTTCTCATCCACTTCTGTGTTGGGAAGCAGCTTGAGCAACAGTTTGCCGATCACATGTCATTTCACGACAATGCCAGAAAGCTCACAGGCAGGGCGGAGGAACAGACGTGGCAAGCCATATCTGTAGAGAAAATTCAGTGCCACTTTTAGCCTGTAAATGACAGGAAGCTTGGGGCCCGGGTACCGTATGGCCCACGCTTCTCCCATGCCTCCCTGCTGAGCATTTGAGGCCTCGCTCCAGACTTCCCTACCCATCAGAGTAGGGAAAAGTTTGGCAGAATGCTTTCGATTTCATTTTGTTTGGGTCGTTAGGCTCACGGATCTTTGTTCACTAATCACTGCTCTGTTGCTGCTGTTGTGATGCTGCATTTATGTCCCAGCCTCTTCCCTTTGTGAGGATCCAAGGGACGTACGCAGTTTCATTTTATCCTCACAACAACCACCCTGTGAGGTAGGCTACTCCGAGAGTGAATGACTGGCCCAGTGAGGTTTGTGGCTGAAAGCAGACTAGAACTCAGATCTCCCAGACCTCAGCCCAGCACTAACCCCTGCACTTCAGAGTGCCTCTGCGAGTTGCCGCTTTTGTAATTTCATTGATTTCCAGGTTTGGTGTATTAACTGCTCTTTTCTCTGGTTACTGTTTTATGTAGCATTGATCGATGTATTTTAAAAATTGCCGAGCTATTTTGCAGTTGCAAGCTGCCTTGAGCTCTGATTTGAAATAGGTCTATAAGACACTGGGGTCTTTTACAGTAAATAAGGGGAAACAATTTTGTAACTAGCTGGCTGGTCAAATTTTGCCCATTGCAACTCACGCCTTATTAATGAGCCTGGGCCAGCATTTCACAAATTCTCTAGTCAGTTTCGAGAGGCATGTGAGTTTCTGGGCACTCGGCCTGTATCTAAACAATGCTATTTTTGCATATGTCCTGAGTTGCTTGGATTAACACTTTTCTTGCTTGCAGTAAGATTGCATAAGCAAGATACATACGATGTAAGATTACATAATCTTACTATGTTTATGTCACTTTGCCCAACCAAAAATCACGTGCAAGGAAACAGCTGGGGAGGCATGTTCTCCCTTGCTTCTTTTTCTGCTCCCACATGGCTTATTTCCTGTTCAGACGCAGCACATGCTCCCTTTTACTCTCATCACAGCGGATTTGGCTTGTTGCTCATCTCGTGCTTTCATTTCCATCCTCCACCCACTTCCCCGCCGCCCGTGAGCAGACACGGTATTTTACTTACTACTTCTGTAAGAGGCAATGTTTCTGTGAGAAGTTATGCAAAAATAGCCCTTCTGAAAAGGCATCCATAATATTTTATTTATTTATTTATTTATTTATTTATTTATTTATTAAAGCATTTCTATGCCGCCCCTTGCCGAAGCCTCAGGGCGGCTCACAGCACAAATAAAATACAATAAAACACAAAAATAACAATATAAAATTAACAATATAAAATAAATATACCAACAGTCGTGCAACTTTCCTGCAAGGAATAAAGCTATCGGGCTCCTGAACAAATTGGTGCATACTGTGGGAATTTCCTGCATATCGAACTGCAAGCCCACATTCAGCAAGCCATGAATATTTTCAGCAGGTCGTGTGGTCCGTTTTGGGGCATGTGTGCACACTTTGAGAACAAGGGCCCGGTTCCCATAGATCTCCAGCAGCAGCAGATGGGGGAGTGTACAGTGGGCCAACAAGCACTGCTAGCCACAACCATGAGGACTAGGAACTTAGGTACACCTCATTTTCAAACAAGCAAGCCAACAAACCCCGACAGGCCCCATGCATGGCAAATACAAATGCTGCGACAGGTGGAGAAGCTGAGCAGGCCACCTTTCCTGGGAAAAGAAACTAATACCTGTGTTGACAAGGGATGGTGACACCTGTTGCCCATAAACATGGCAGAAGGTCTGAGGAGGCAGGGAGTAAGAAAGCAGAGTATGTTTCATGCCTGGGAAGCCCTTGCTTCCTTGCAGAGGACTCGCCACCGTCTCTTGCTTCTTTGCCTGTTAGCCGCGTGATGCTGAACTCAAGGGGATTCAGACTGCAGTTGTTTATGCCAAGGGAAGTGGCGTGAATTTGCCACCCAGGAAAGTGAAGTTAGCTTTGCAGCTGTACTCTCAGGTCTGCCCACACAGCGCTGCAACTCTGGATTTCCAGGGCCAAGACAAAGGGAGCCTGTCCTGAACCTCGGCAGGCGGGGGCAAGGCATGCAAAGCGCCCGACGTCTGCCCCCTTCCGCCCTTCCTGGAACAGTGGCTGGGCGGCGGTGGGGAACCAAAGAGACAAGGGACCACAACATGTCCCGATGAAGTCACCTTCTGCCTGCTCGGCTCTTTGCATGGAGCTTAATTAGCTTCATTAGCAGTACAAAGGCAGACTCTAATGGGTTTGTTTTTGCTCTGAGAGACAGATATTTGCTCCCGGGGGAAGTATCATTCTACGGAGGGAGGAAGAGTGGGGGTGAGGCCCCCTGATTTGCAGCCTCGCTCAGCTGCGAGGGCAGAAGGGCACCTGGTCCCCAAACAGATCCGGATGGCAGATCCGGATGGCAACCGGCACCGCCACCGGGCCGTTCCACCACAGCGAGCGAGCGCCCGTGTGTGTTTGCTCCCACCCCGACATACAGATTCTCTGTACACACAGAAAATGAAAAATGGTTCAGCATAGCCCAGATATATTGTCTTCCTAAGTCTGGGAGGCTTCCCCTTTCCGCCTGGGTTGAATGCTCTTCAAACATGAAAACTTTCTATACGAAGCCTGAGAAGAAGCAGGATAAGAAAAGCTCGCCTGCTTATGTCCGCTGATTTGCCATGAACCAGTTCATCTGCTTTATAGATGTTGAGGAGATGATGACGACGATGACGATGATGATGGAGGGTACCTTTCAGCATGTACAGAGTGCCTTTTGCTCACCATTCCACGCACCTGAGCATCTGGTCTAGGAAGAACGTCTACCGAGTGAAGTGCCGACAAATGTTTGCCTGCCAGTCCACAGATATGACATTTTCAGGTATAGATGAATCTGTCAGGCTTGGTGGTTCCTTTGTCCAAGCTTAAATTCAGTTAATTCCAAATTTTGAAGAAAAAATAAAGTCCACATTCATGAGCATTACCGCATAGTTCTTCCAATATATGCGTTTTTGTGGCAGTACCTAAATAATATTCCTGCAAGCAATCTGCTAATAAAATGCATTTTCAATGGTATTTTCCACATATATATCTATATATAGACGTGTGTGTGTGTGTGTGTTTAACTGGAGAATGTTGAGCAGTAATTTAGCAAAGTGCAAAGTTAGAAAGATAACTGAGCTTCAGATTGCATAGTGATTTGAAGGTGCAAAATTCAATATGTTCACATTAAAATGCCCCATTAAAATGTGAACTGAATTGATTTATCTCTCATCTCTGTACACATCAAAAGAGATGTACGTACATCTAGGGTATATATCACTATAGGCCAACCTACTCGTCCTCCTAGGTACTATCTGCACTTATGTGTGCCTTATCCATCAGCTATGCAGCCTAGGGGCATGAGCAGCACTTGAGCCATAATTGCACAGAAAGATGACCTATAATCCTCCGAAGAGACTCCAGAGACAGCTGGAGAAGACCGAGCCATGGAAAGGCATCCTAAGCCCCCAGGACCAGCTCGCCAAAGGCAGCTCAGGTGGCAGCTCCTCTGCACGCAGAAGAGGCTCTGTGGCCATCCTCAAGCCTGAGGACTCCGGCATCCAAAATACCAGCATGCCACACCCGTCCTGGCTCTGCTGCCTGAGGCTGCCCAAAGAGGTGAGGCCCCCTGAAGAGTCAAAGCCTCAATAAATGTAGAAGTAGGGCTAACCAGCCTGAACATCCGTAACTTCCTACTCACACCTTGGTCCTGTTCTGCTCTTTGCTGGAGCAGCATACATACAGGCAAGTCGGCTAGAGCCGAGGGTCAGACCAGACGGCCCGGGAGGCCCCTTCTGACTCGCTCTGTTTCTGTTTCTAAGCCCAACTGGCTTCCGGCTCCAGCACCACTAGGAGCTGTCCATGGTGCTGGTCTCTTTCTCCCAGGCCTGCTGGGGAACTTGAATGTGATTCAACCTGAGTGCTGCTCAGATCTGGTCATAGCAGAACCTCACAACCCAAAGATAGGCTGGACATGCACATGGTGGGCATGTCGTGAGAGGAGCCGGCTGGAGCCGGGGGTCAGACTAGATGGCCCGGGAGGCCCTTCTGACTCGCTCTGTTTCTATGTAACCCAAGCCACACCTTCAAGCACCCTCAGACTTGTATGAATAGAATTAGCTTGACTGGTTGTGTGAGACAAAAGAACATGGGGATCCCTCTATCTTTTTGCAGTCACGCACTGCTGAGATCCTTCTAGCCCTATTTTCTTCTAACTAAACAGTGCAACAACAGCAGTGAGAACTGATACATACCTTCCCCCTTTATAGTGCAATAATGCACCATAAAATTAACTGAATTCTGCCATGGTATAATATGTAACATAAAAGCTGTAGACATTTATCTGTAGGGCATGGCACAATTAGCTTTTGCATGAGGGCTCTTTCGACTTACTGTATGGGGAGGGTCATTTTTTATTTTCAAATGTAAAACAGGTAAGCAGTGTGTCTGCAAACAAAAGCTGCAAATCCTAGGACAGACTGAGAATTCACTACACGGGGGAAGCCATAGGCTGTAGCCAACTCACATCCAGGTTCTCTCTCGCTCTCTCATTCTCTCTCTCATCCTGGCTTCCCTCCCCACGTTAGACATGGGATTCTTGAAGGGAAGTGTGCCTGCTTATGACATTTTCCTTATTCAAATTTCTCTAGGGTCCTGAAGTAGCTTTCTGGAGGGACATCAAAGCTTTCGTAACATACTGATTCTTCCAGTTTTGAATATTCAGTTCAAAATGTCCAGACTGCTGTATGTTTGCACATTGGCTGAGTTTTTGTTGACATTCTTTTCCCTGCTCCACCTGCCAGTGTTTAAGTGGACTGACCAAGCCCAACATCTGCCGAAACATGGGCTCATGATGGAATTGTGCTGCGTTTTTGTGGGTCAGTTTCACTGATGGAAGAGGAACGCAGGGAAGCAGAGCCCCAGGACCTTTTCAGAAGCCGGAGCTGTCGTGAACAGTCCTCTCCCCAGACGTCAATGAGAACTTTGATGCACAATCCCTTTCTTAGGCCTCCCTGATTACACTGCAGTATAAATCAAAGCAGCATTCTTCTCAAGGTGTGGGGGTAGTGTCTGCCCATGTGAAGAGAGGAATCCATACAGAAGCACCCCCTCCTTTCAGGAAGAACCTGGCTTCCCTCTCAGGGTTGCTCCTGCTGCTTGAGGATTAGACCGTGGGAATGCCAGACACTTTGCCATGGCTCTGCATGCTTCCCTAGCCATCTCCTGATGGGTCAAGGAGTCCCTTCTCTGTCATGTCACTCCAAAGGAGAGCTCCCTCCTTTCTCAGGACTGGCCGGCTGTCATCCTCTGCCTGAGCATCTTCACTAGGTAACCACGATCTTGCCAAGTCATTTGCCCAAATCAGCCCCACCTCCTCCTCCTCCTCCTCAGAATTGGAGGACTCTTCTGAGCAGACCGTAGTGTGTGAGAACTGGGCCCCTCTGTAGATGACCACCAGAACAATGGACATGCTCTCCTGCCCAGGCATGGAAATGGAGGGATAATAAGGCTTTCAAGCTCTGATTGTGATCGACAGGAATGGAGGAAGTCCAAGAACAAGGAAGAGCACCTGGCAGAGGCTGGATACTTCCTGTTCCTACTTCGTATTAGCAATTTCAATAGTAATTTTCAAGATCGTTTGCTTCCAATTAAAAAGCCGGTGGTTGCATGCAGTCAGAAGTAATTTGGCGCTCCTTGCTCCCAGGTAATTCTGGATGGGATTACAGTCGTGTCCTGTAACCTAATTGTGAGATTTCATTAGTGGTGCATTCATTTGTTTTGGACTGCTGTGCTTTATGATATAGTGTTTAACTAAAGTGTCAACTCCTTTGAGGATGCTTAATAGGAAGGCTATAACATATAAATTTATTATTGCTGTTATTATTATTACATTGCATACATTAACCATGATTAGGAAGGCTGTCATGGCCAAGAGCTGCACTTCAAAATTCACCACTGCTCCCTGTTGATGAGTTGTCTATTTTGGGGAAGGATCTCCAGCAAAAACTATGCCCTTCTAGAGTGGAGTTCGATTCCCCTCTCAGGGCATGGGCCATGCATGAACCATGGTGAGATACAGCTTAATTCATTAATCCCTACCTGAAATCCACCTGGTAGTTTCAGCTCCCATCAGCACAGCCTCCTCCACCCCCAGCCTTTTTGCTCGAAGCGGCTTGGGCTCCAACACACAAAGAATTGGCAGATGCTTGAAAACAGGATTACAGGTTTCCGATTGCTTGGAATATCTCCTATGCCAATGAGAGGATGTGATCCTCGAACGGGAAATGCATCCCGAAACCAGCCTGGAAAATCGGCTCTGGTAAATGGATTATGCAAGCAGCATTATCCAAGCTGGACCTTTCCTTGCCATCCCTTCCCAGCCCTGGGGGGGAGGCAGCATTTTGAGTGGTTCCAACAGCGGTTTTGCAATGAGATTAAGAGCATGGAGACTGGGGAATGGGCTGGGAAAGGAGCTGGAAGTAGAGTCCAGCCCGTTAAATGGTCACACTACAGAAAAAAGGCATCGCCTCGTACTGGGAACCTAGCAGTGATGTTGATTGCTACCAAGCACTGTGTTTTCTACCAGTTGAGAACTGCTGTGCAATCTGGGATCTGGTGCAACATGGAAACAGAGGGATCCTTGGTTTCAAGCAAGGTGCATTTCTCGCTCCTATAGTGTCAAAGTAAAAGGCTGCAAATTCACTAGAATTGCAGGTTTTGAAGCATAAGGCGAAACCTGCTGGATCTAGTCCAGCATGCTGCCCACACCGAGGCTCACCAGATGCCCATGGGAAGCCCACGAGGAGGAGCAGGAGTGCACCCACCCCCTCCTGCCTGTGTGCCCTGGAAGCTAGTGCATCTAGGCATACTGCCTCTGAGGTAGCATACAGCCGTCATGAGGACTAGTGGTCTTCGAAGGCCTTGCTTTCCCTGAATTCTTCTAAAGGCATACAAAGCCGTGGCCACTCTAGCATCATGTGGTAGCAAACGCCACCATTTCACTATGCTCTTGTCTTGTATCTCCCGTCAATCAGAAGAATGGGGTGACCCTCAACTCTAGCATTATCTCACTCACAGAGAGAGAGAGAGAGAGACCCCCACCCACTTCCTCCGCACCATGCAGATTTTGAACACTACTATCACGTCTCCCCTCACTGGCTTCTTTCCAAAGTAATCAGTCTTACTTTGCATGCATTCCTAAAAACATAAGAACATACAAACAGCCAGGCTGGGCCAGACCTGAGGTCCATCTAGTCCAGCACTAGTATATATGGTGGCAGACCAGCTGCCCACAGGATCCCTCCAGCAGGATGGGGGCAAGACCCCCTCCTGCCCAAGCTCCTCAGCAATGGCTGCATGCAGACATGCCTCCTCTGGAGAAGGAAGGAGCACGTGGCCAGCAAGGCGAGCAGCCATTCTCAAGGACGATTGCTGGGGCTGCAGGGAATCAGAATCGGAATGTGAAGCGGAACTGCGAGGAGCCTGGGAACGTGGGCCGAGCCGAGGCACTGGGATGAGGGAAGTGGAGACGCCTGTCTCAAGGCCCGCTCCCAGGGGGGCAGGCAGTCCCCGGGAAGAGCCAGGGTGTGCGGCTGGCAGGAGGGGGCCCAGCGCAGGGGAGTTTCTCAGACACGGACCAGGCAGCCTGGCTCTTGACCCCATGATGTGGCATCAGCTGAGCAGGGTGGCCCAGTTAGAGGATCGGGGCATGCAGAGGGGGCGTGCTCGCTTTCAGAAGGCTCCTCCTGAAGGGATGGGGCCCAGGCATTCTCCTGGGGAGAGTTCCTGGAAGTGAATGCTAGCTTGGGCTCAACAAACCACTCTGTGCATGCTCAGAGATTCATTGTGGGGCATTGTGCTTTTTGGTCAATCAAGACAACAGTCTGTGGCTTTTGAATGAGCAAAGAAGGAACTCCAGCTCCTGGGATGTGCTGTGAGGAAGAGCTTCCTTTATCTGCCCTAAACCTCCCACGGCTCAGCTTCATGGGATGAGCCTGGGTTCAAGTGTTCTGCAAGAGGCAGAAAAATGATTCCCTCTCCCCTTTCTCCACACCGCGCATTGCTCTGAGCACCTCTGTCCTGGCTGCCCTTCCTTGCCTCCTCCGTGCTGAGCAGTCCCAGTTGCTCCTGAAGAAGCCCCTCGGCAGGGAGCCGCTCCGCACGTGTCGTTCCCGTTGTCCTTTTCTGCCCCAGCCCCTTGATCATTCTGCCTGCTCTTTTCTAAACTTTCCCCAGTTCTTCAATATCCCATTTTAGGGACAGGGACCAGGATGGTGCGGTGTGATATGGAGACATGCATGGACCCATCTGTTCCCAGTTTGCCGTACTTGACTTCCTCCCGGAGTCTTTGGCTATATTTCAAATGCTTTTGAGCCCTGCCTTTTGGTAGCAGATCAGCAAAGTCAGCTGCCCAGGCATTTCATCCAGAATGCTGCATCACAGCGAATATGGAAAGTTTTGCTTTTGAAAGCAGCTAAGAGTGGATTCATTGGCCCGGAGACATTTCTCGGTCTTTAAAGGAAATCTAGGAAAACATATTTGCGCTACAATCATAAACATACTTATTCCCAAGTAAGTGCCACCAACTCAAACAAAACTTCCTTCCAAATAAATATGCTCAGAACTTCAGCTTTAATTGGCCTGGACAGATCTTGGGTTAGATCTTGAATTAGTTTAAATGAGTAATTGTCATTTGTAGTTTTCCAGTAGTTCTTCTCAGGCAGTCCAAATAGCCTTAGTAATGGCAGCAGATTAAAATGCAGAATGCCAAGATGTTATCAGCAAAACCCAAAGCCAGGCTCTCTCAAGCGCCTTC